TGCCCCTGATAAGTCCGGTAAAGCATTTACATACTGGAAACAGGTATCAGCTACAATCTGATAAATAAAGTAGGCTACAACACATCCCCCGTCATTATTAATTAATCTGCTGAATATTCTTTCATACAATGCATAGTGGCTTTTCATGTTGCTTGACATACACTGTATTGCCAAAAGTATTCACTCACCCATCAAAACCATTGAATTCAGGTGTTCCAATCACTTCCATGGCCACCTAGGCATGCCGACTGCCTCTACAAACATTTGTGAAAGAATGGATTGCTCACAGAAGCGCCGTGAATTCCAGCGCAGTACCGTGATAGGTTGATACCTGTGCAACAAGTCCAGTCCTGAAATTTCCTCACTACTACCTCAACCCGACAGAACACCTCTGGGATAAATTAAAGCAGCGACTGTGAGGCCTTCTCGTCCAACATCAGTGTCTGACCTCACAAATGTGCTTCTGGAAGAATGGTCAACAATTCCCATAAACACACTCCTAAAACTTCTGTAAAGCCTTCCCAGACGAGCTGAAGCTGTCATAGCTGCAAAGGGTGGGCCGACATCATATTAAACTCTTCAGAATGGGATGTCACTCAAGTTCATATTTGTGCGCAGGAAGACGAGTGAATACTTCTGACAATATAGTGTAGCGGCTTACCCAGCGGTTCAAAAACCTGAGCAGCTGGAATCAGGAAAAATAAACACAAGTTAGTAACTAGTTAATTTCCTCCCATCCGTACTCGCACACCTACTCTGCACATGGTCCAGGTGAGGCACAGCTTTGCCTGCTAACATCTTATAAACAAATATAATGTGCTTGTTCTATGTTATTTGGGGGAATTGTAATGCTTTAACATACACAGTGTAACAATGTAGCATCTTCTCTGAGGTTTTTCAGCTTGTAGCAGAGTTTTTGTTTTCTTCTGCCAGCGCACAGGAGCAGTATGTTTTCAGCTGCCAGCAAGAAGAAAAAAAAATGCAAGGACTGGATTTCAGGAAACCAAAAAGAGAGATGGAGAATGGGCAAATTAAGAACCTATTAAATTATAGTGTAGATCCAGATACTGATAGGGCATAGACCTCAGAGTAGGACAAGCTCCCGAGTGCCTGAGTGACCTTCTTGTTTTCCTTTCTTAATGTACTCTGGAAGCAAACCCCAGTCATCACAGCACTACAGAAAAAAAGACCTACAATCTATCTACTTGTCACAGTAAAGCTAAGCGTCAGTTAGTTTAGTAAAAACATGTGGTGTTTTTTTAAACTTCACACAGTGCTGACATACTGCAAACAATCCTTTGGACCCCAAAATGTAGGAAAGAAAACAAAATATTAGTAACATTTCTGCACTCCGGTGTGTATTTGTTGCAGCTTCAGATGCCAAAACTGATCCAAATTTCTGCTCAGCCACAGGGGCAATTTAAATACTGCAAAAGCATTAAAAAAAAACCCCATAAAGACTGTAAGCCACCACCCCTCCCTGCTGTCTGTCACAGACTATTTCTATGACTCTTGTATGAAACACTTCTGACATTAAACACCTGTTAACTTTTATGTCTTGTGAGAGGAGTGGCTGAATGGGAGAGCATTATATTCAGTGCCAGTCGGCCTGGCCTAATCCCCAGTAGAGGAAAGACCACTCCCAGTGCGGAGAGGCAGCAGTGGGAGTGAGTGAGCCCCCTTACCTCTGCCACAGCCTGAGAGGATCCCCTCTGCTCAAACCCAGTAGTTACTTCTATTCCATTTGACAGCTGTGTGAAACCGCCATCTTTCCACAGCTCTCTGCTCCACAAACTGAACAGCTACCCACCAGCAGGCACGCGTAGGGGGGAACGAAGGGAGACGTGAGGCAGTTTACGTTGTTGTTGTTGTCCTGGATCGAGTTTTCTGTTCTACCTGTCAGATTCAGATGCCAGCGCTGAGGTCAAGGTGGTGCAGCGTGTCCTGCCAGAGCCCAGAGGTCCTGTACCACCCAGTGTGAAAAATCCCAAACTGCTTTAAAGAAAGTCAAAAACACATTGTGCAACCTTTTTCCAGCACACCGAGCTTCATTCACAAAACCAGAAAACTGTTTTGGCTTTTTAACCTTTTGCAGGGTCAGTCTTCTCTGTGCATCACTAAAGTAGGTAAATCCCTTTTTGTTGTACTTCCTCATGCTTTACTCTACATTTTGGAGTAAATCTACACCTTACTCCTCCACCTTTATCCACAGCTTTGGACGCCTCATATACGATTAATATTGCAAACAATAATTGTGTCCACTGCTAATTTTACACACCGTCTGTCATAATTTTTAAATTAAGTTTTAATGCAAGATTTACTACTTGGGATTTCTGCTTTGTTTTTACTGTTACAGTAAAAGATGAGTACAGATCAGCACCAGTTCTAACATCACCCTTTTCAAAAACTATACAGTCATGGCCACTTTATTGGGTACATGTGTTAAGCTTTTTATTGCTGCAAATATCTCATTAGCCAATCATGTGGCAGCGACTCAGTGCATTTAGCCAGGTAGACATGGTCAAGATGACCTGGTGAAGTTAAATGAGAAAGAAAGGCATTTTTTTCCATCACAACCATCTTTAGGGTTTTTAGAGAATGGTTCAAAAAAGAGAAACTATCTGGTGAGCAGCAGTTCTCTGGCTGAAAAAGTCTCACTGATGGCAGAGGTCAGAGGTGAATGGCTAGGCTGTTTTGAGCTGATAGGAAAACAATACTGACTCAAATAACCACTCTTTACAGCCAAGGTGCAGAAGAGCATGAATGCACAGCATGTCAAACCTTAAAGCAGATGGGCTACAGCAGCAGGAAACCACACCAGGTGCTGTCAGCTAAGAACAGGAAACCGAGGCTACAGTTCACACGGGCTCACCAAAATTGGACAACAGTAATTGGAAAAATGTTGATTTTTTTTTTTTTGTTCAATTTCTGATGGGACATTCAGGTGGTAGAGTCAGAGTTTTCCATGGATCCATCCTGTCCTGTTCAGGCTGCCAGTGTAATGCTGTGGAAGATATTTTATAGTCAGAGTTTTAGTACCCAGTGGGCATTGTTTAAAGCCCAAAGACTACCTGAGCATTGTTGCTGACCGTGTCCACATGGTCTGATGTCTGCTTCCAGCAGGACAATGAGTCATGTCACAAAGCTCAAACTAGTTTCTTCACTGGACTTAGTCAGCCTCCCAAGTAACCAGATCTCAATCAAACGGAGCACCTTTGGGATGTGGTGGAACGAGAGATTCACATCACGGATGTGCAGCTGACAAATCTGCACAAACTGTGTGATGCTATCAAGTCAGCATGGATCAAAATCTGAGGAATGGCCAGTGAGTGTATATAGTAGAAATAAAATGGAGATTCACGTTAAATCTTAATTAATACAATACTTTCTGTTTTTTAACCCTCTGTTATAACTAATTAATATAATTAATTTCTGTTTTTTTAACAGCTGGATGTTAAAAACTGGTTTGTGTGCGTTTGTCTTTTTTATCCAGTGATAAATTTAAGATAAAAAAAAACTCTTTAAAATAAATTCATTTAACTACCCTCTATAGTAAAGAAAAAAAGAGAACAAATATACATTATTGAACTATTTGTTTTCAGGTTCATTTTTATTTTATGGTTTGTTTAATATTGTGTGTACCTGTCCCAACTAAGTCGCTTAATCTGGTACATATAAAGGGGAGCTTTTCTTCTATGTGATCAATATTTTGTGCATGGTCCTGGACAATAAATGATGAAACTAAAACTGACTAATTATACAATCTTTTGCAAAAGCGACTATTAGAAAAATGGGAATATCCGTTCTTACTTTTGATGTACGGTAACACATCGTGTCAGTGGATTGCATATAAGAAAAGTGGAAACATGTCACACTTTCCTGATGACAGCAACATCTTAAATGTTTAATTATTTCAGATATCACACTGGCTGCCACCTCACAGTGGACCCGTAACAGGCGCCAACCATCTGCTGCAGTTATGGATTCATTTTGGAAAACATTACTTGCGATTATGAACCGAGACCCCTGTTCACCCAGGATGTGGAAAAGTACTGCAGGTACAGCACACTGAAAACATCTAAAAGCAGGTCAACATCGGCTCAGATTTATGCAGCAGGAGCTCAGTGAGTAGATCTAGACGATTATTTTCTATAAAAAAAATAAAATCGAGGTCAGCTGAAAGTATTCCTCCCCTCTCATCCATAAAACCTGATGCTAATAAATCTGCCTCAAATATTTAGCTGATAGTCAGCAACTGCAAAGCAAATGCAAAAATTACTTTGGACTACAATGCAAACGACTATAATAAAATGACATCTCAAGTTGCTCCAGCGGCATCGGAAAGTGAAAGGAGCGCTGTTTGTCTGCCAGACCTGGTGGCTAAATGAAAGCTGATCCAAACCTTTAAAGCAGAGTCGTTGGGCTAATATGTTAATGCTTGGATTGCAGCACCAGGAAATACCTGAGAGAGGTACACCTTTGGCCATCCACAGGAATGGGTGGAAAACTTCAACCTGAGAGCTCCGACTTTCTGTAACCTTCTTCTTCTCTGTGTCTGTGCTTTGTGGATCACAAAGGTTCAGGTGCGGCGATTAGAGCCCCCTAACATGTTAATGATGGTGGAATATTTCACTCCGAGTTTGTCAGTTTTATCCCCCATTAGCAGGCAGGAATGTCCTCTCCTCTTCTCCGCTCTGAGGCGATTGGTTCTCGTCTTCGGCTATTTACACATCACAGACAGCACATCTATTTAGGAAACAGCAGAGATAACGTCCGAGACATAATATGGGTGAATCAATAAAAATCTGTATATTCTGCCGTGTGTAATCTTTTCATAAACACAGACTGCAGCGGCGTGGTTGAGTTTCCTTTTGCGGATATTTCTTCACTAAGCTTCAGTGAAACAATCAGGTGAGCATTTTTGGTTTTAATCAGCTCCGGTGTGGATCAGTTGCAAGCTTGAGAAGAAAAAGATTAGATCATATAACATTGATTTGTGGTGCTTTTAATGTAGCAAGGGAACAACAAATATGTTATTTGTGGGGTTTTTTAATATATATTTAAAAAAGAAACTTGTTGAAATTCCGGCTTTACATTAATACATACTGATGGCTAACTGTGTAACAATAAAAATAACTAGATGATCTTCATTTAGTGAGTAAAAACCAGGAGTAAACTATGTAATGAAAGACTCAAGTTTTGCCCCGTCTTTGAGGTCTTAAATCAATTTAAAATGTGGAATAAAAAAACAAAAAAAACAAACCAAAATCCTTTCTTTAACTTCTGACTATTACATAAAAAAAAACTAGGAGTAAAACATCTTGTTTCATTCACAGAATGAAAATGCACTTATAAAATTCACAAATTGCTGATTTCTACGTACAAGTGTGTATATGAGACACAATCTGCAGACTTCACCCTCTTTATCACAAAGCACAACTTGGCTGCACATTAGGCTTCTGATTGGGCTGAAATACTCACTGGGCATTACTGAATAAATGGTGAAATATGAAGTCTGATCCAAACCATATGTGTGCAGAGCTGCAGAAGGTATTCTGGGGGATTCTTACACAGATCCTCAGGTTTACACTCAACCATCAGAGGAGAGTGCATAATACTATCCAGAGCTCTTCGATATCTGCAGCCAGCGAAGCAGAAACAGCTTTACGTGCCTGACTGCAGAGGCTCTTCAAATATGGAGTGTAAAAACAACACCGCTGGGGCAAACCGTTGTGCCGCTGTCAGGCATCCTAGCGTTTGGCTCTTTTGGAAGGGGGCTCCTCTGATTTCTGTCCTCCCCGCGTTCGCACAGCAGGAGGGCTGGTCTCCCGCTTACGGCCCCCTTTCGCTGCAGCTGCTGCCGCCTGGCCCCTCGTCCCGCTGCGGGAGGGAAACAAGGAGCAAGTGTCAATCCATTTGTTCAAGAGTCGTGTTCATGTTAAATATACGGTTATTTGGGGAAAGTAATGCAATAACTAATACGTGTAGAAACAGTGGAGCTTGTTCACATAATCTCTGGATTTGAAAAACGGTACTGGAGACTGAGTTGAAAATAGAAGGGGAAAAAAAAGCCAGCTAGAATTTAACAAAGAGGAAAGTATTGTTTCCTTAAAAAAAATAAGTATGGAGAATAAGTAGAGAGAGAGGGGGGGGGTCTTCGTTCTGTATCCATAAACTCTAGAGTGTAGAAGTTTAAAATAGAAACAAGACTTGAAGTCCTTATTTTGGGGCCTACTAGATTAATTTTATTTTGAAGGAATCAAAAAAGTGTACAAGCTGTCACTAAAGTTAAACGCAGGCTGGTTTAGACACCATAGATGCTGAGAAACAGTTTTTAAATTATTGTCTTAAAACTAAATTTTGATAAAGTATTAAATGTACTACTTTGTAATAAAGAAAAATAAAAAAATATATATTCAACTGTTTTTTTCCACCAATGAGCGATTTTAGTTGTACAAAGTTTAAGTTTTATTTTAAATTCATAATCTAGAGATAAAATAATTAGCTGATCTAAAAATTTAGTGATTAAAATTTTTTTAAATAATTTTCTTTTTCCACCAAAAACCCACATTTCTTACTCCTAATGTAGCTAATTTAGTTAAATGATTATTTGACCTTCTTCTTGTTTGTTTATGTTAGTGGTATTGGGACACCTTTGATTTATAAATTTAAAAATAAATAAATAGAAATCACACAAGGTGAAGCACTGCAAGCAAAAATGTGTTTTTCTTTGAATCTCTGGTCAGTTTTTGATATTTTTCGCTATGTTGTTTCCTTGGAAGTTAACGGTCAAAATACAGATTCTGTTGTGTCTGTTTGCCATTTCTACAAATCTAAGCATATGTCATTAAAAATGAGTCATACTTATAATTTGGTGACTATTTTTAACTAGTTGCCAAAATATCTAACGCTTTCAAGTGAATACTACTTTCCATTAAATAAGCGACGACTACGATACAAACATTTACCGAACTTTCCAATTTATAATCTGGATTTTTATTTATTTATTTATTTTTTACACAAAGGTCATCTTGGAACATTTTATTCCGCAAAACAAGAAAAAAATAAATAAAAAAATCAGACTTTTTGTGGCTGCTGATCCTACGTTTAGATTAAGAGATTCAAAATCCCTGCCTTAAAAACCATCAACGACAATTTACAAAAAAAAAAAAAAAAAAAGAAGAAGAATTTGCATCTGGTTTTATGCAGTTTCAGATTTCTATTCTGGAAAAGCACACGTTTACATAAATAATGGCTCATTTGCAAATTTAAACAAAAGATTTCAGCGCAACCGTTACACTATTTACATGAAGAGGCCAAATGACCCAAATTAGTATCATCATCATATTAATCAATTACATACTGAAGTCCTATTACCGCTGTTTGATTTACCTTTCTTAAACACAGCTCAGGTTCTACAGAAGACTTATTTTTATTTTAGGAGCTAATAAGTGAAAAACATCTTGAAATTCCAGGAAATCTTTTGGCAAAATGTTTTCTTTCACAGAGCAGCGACTGAGCTTGCTCGTGCTGCTGAAGCTCACCGTGTGCCAGCTGCGGTCTCCTCTTTACCGTTCTGTCTGCTTGCCCGGGTGGATGGTTTACTTGGCTTGTTTCTGGGGAACAGTAAAAAGAAAAATACAAAACAACAGTTGTTGCTTTAGTACTAAATCGCCCTTGATTTTATTTAATATGATTTGACAGCGACGATGCCTTCGAGGTGCAAATATTCAGCTCCAAAACAATCAAACACTCATTCGTTAACACTGGAGAAACTTTGCAGTTTCACAGTTCAGGTGAATTTTATTGCTCAGCATTCAATAAAAAAATATGTTGTTTTAACCCATCTGCAGGTTTTTGGCAATTTCTCTGTTTTGGTGTTACTGGAAATCTAAAATTTGAACCATCAGATAACGTTTAAATTACCTTTCAGCTTCCCGGCGAGAAGCCAACCGTGTTGTGGCTCTAGTTGCAGTTTCTTTTTCTTCCTCTCCTTCTTTCTCACCTTCATCTTCCTCCTCTTCCTCCTCATTCTGCTCACTGTCCTTCTCCTCTGCTTTTTTGACCTTTTTATCTGAGGGAAAGATGACAAAGTGTTGCAGGAGTTATTGGTTAAATATATAAAAGGTCTGTCAGATGGAGCTATAGAATCACTGAAGCACTCATCCACAGCAAATAATCTTATATCCTACCATCGTGTTAGCTTCACATTGACTGCTACAGCCTGTTGACTCCATTTTAATCACATTTTACCTGAATCCTCTGTAGCTGCTGCCTTTGATGGCCGTCCCCTCCGACCAGTCCGCTTTGGAGTCGTCTCTTGGTCCTCTTGCTGTTGCTCTTCCCCGCCCTTGGAAGAGTTTAAAAAGGTCAGTGAACATACACTGGGAACTGTGACTGAGGTAAAAAGTCCTTACACAAACATCAGCCTCATAAAAAGTAAAGCATGCAGATACATCATTTTTAAACATACGTCTTGTGTCTTCTTCTCGCTGCAGCTCTGCTCTTTTACATCCTCGTGAGCCTCTGACTGACTCGCAGAAGGGGAACAGCCTGAAAAAAATAAATAAACCTGAGATACAAAGACTGCAAACTCACAACTGAAGATGTTTTTAAAACACATGAACCACTGTGGTAATTACACAGCTAGCCTGAGTGCTGTCTCACCACTGTCTTTATCAGGCTGTCGCTCATTTTGTTCCTGTCCACTGTTGTCCTGCACCACCTCCTCCGGAGCTCGAGCTTCCTGCAGGACAAAACAAGAAGAAATTCAGATGGAGGGTGCTGAATGCGTACTGGAAGGAGAGCAGTTACAGATAAAGAAATCTCACCTCCACACATTCACACACCTCCATTTCCTCCGATTCTTTGGTCTCCACTGTTTGTTCACCTGCAATGATGATTAATCAAAACATTTAATTTTTTTTAAGTATCTTAAAGCTCACTTATTTCCAGACTTTCTTTAAGCCGCTAGTTTTCAAACCTTTCCTTCATGGCCCAATTCAGAAACCAGATAAGTTCACACCAAACATTTACTATCAATCAGTCACAGTACAAAGTCAAGTTACATTTAAATTACTTAAAGTTCCTGTTTGCTTTTCCCTTGTCAAAAAAACCAAACAAGCTCATATTCATCGACACACTTGCATAATTTGAAAATTCTTAATATGAGAAGCTGTTGAGGTTTGGCCCACTTGTTATCGATATAACATTTAAAAACCAGACTCACTGGTGTCAGCAGGATCGCTGCATTTGGCACTTGCTGCTCCTTCGCCGTCCTCTGGAACAGACGGCAGCAGACTGACCTCACTTTTGATTGGTTCATTTTTCTCTTCAGTTCTCTAAGAATAGGAAAAAACAACAACAAAAGAAACACTTAATGTACTCACTCTTACAAGGATAAAACATCAAAGTAAACCAACAATGTCACATGAGAAACAAAGGCAAAGAAGCTGTAACGACACGTGTTATTAAATATTACGGACATGCTGAGATTTTCTTAACCCACCTCTTCCACTGCTTCCGTCTCTGCAACTTTCTCCGATGAGGTTTGTTCGGGACTTTCAACAACTTTATTTTCGTCTTCTTTCTGCTTATCTGAGGTTCAAAAAAAAGATGTATTTTATAAAAAAAAAAAAAAAAGAGCAAAACTCAAAGAAAAAAAAAAAAACTAACAGCTTGTGTTGTACATTATTTTATACTCAGCAACCACTTTATAGTGCAAAAAACTACAATCTAGAGAAAAAACAAATCTTATACTTATTCAACATGTTGTTAAAGGGAACCTACTACGCTCATTTCCTATTAGGCTGCACATTTTTTTAATCACTGAACTCTTCTAAGTTAGATTGGCACAAATCACAGTACTGAATAAACATTATTTCTCTTATACTAGGAGCAGGCGCTCGGTTCATTTGCCTGAATCAAGTCATTTCACTTCTCCTGCCGCTCGCTTTTAAGCCTGTTTTCTTCTGCTCAGCAGGAAAAAGAATAACAGATCCCAGTACCCAAGAAGCTAAAGAAGCATTAATTATCTAATAACAGAAATAATATATTAATTTAAAGAAGCAGATATAGCCCTCCATAAAGTGCATCAGCTTTTTCGCCTGTGTTCAGTTTGTGTGTCCAAAGCCAAATCCATTTCTACATAATACAACTGTTCTTCTTATTTTCAGGTCATTTCCTTTTCGCACATTAACAGTGAACACTAATTTAAAGTGAGCAGCTTACCAGCTGCGGCTTCTTTGGGTGCTGATCGTCTCCGCCTGCGGCTCGGAGTCTCCTCCAACTTCTCCACTTGTGTTGGTTCGTCTTTCGTCTCCTCCTCTGTGGGTTTGGACGATCGTCCCCTGCGAGGGGTTTTTACCTCCACTGGCTTCTCCTGCTCAGCGTCCCGGAGATAAAGATAACAGCAAACGTGTATTTTTAAACACAAGCAGAGATTGTTTTTGTATTCTTAACAGTATTTGTGATAAAGGTGAAGTGAATGAAGCGTTATTTACCTCAGCAGGCAGCTGCTCATTCGCCTCCTCACCTGATGTGTTAAAGAAACAGAGTCAATGCATTAGTTAACTAGACTCTACCTGGTGAAGGACACTTTTCAGTGGTCATAACTGGTTAACATGTTGTTTACTGACTTTATTGGAAGGGTTGTGATGAAGCCATTGTCTTCAGCTAACCAATTAATAAAAATCATTTTTTACCAATCACCCTTTTGTCTTTTAATTTCTTTGTATTTTGAAATTAGGTGAAGAAATAAATCTCAGCTGCCATACCAGACTCTTTCTCTGCTGCAGCTTTCTGATTGGACAGCTTTCGTTTCCGCCTTCCTCTTCCCTCCGTTTTCTCCTCCTACAGAACAGAAAAGTGTTTGCATGCAGACTATTGTTCTATATTTCTGCACATCCATTTGAATGAATTAAAAATAAAAAAAAAATAAAAAACTTCTGAGAGTTACCTTTTCTGAGAGATCTGAGCCTTTCTCATCATCTTGGCTATCTGCGCTGGAGACATTACCTGGAAATTTCAAACAAGCAGGACCAGCTGAGACTAACTGTAAAAGGACCAGCTGACAAGTACCGAGCATGTAGAAACAAAATGTAATCCTCTTAAAAGCATTACTCTGGCAACATGTTTCAAACCAGATACAGCAGTGTAAACTCAACAAGTGTGAGTAATTTTCCAAAGGAGCCACTTGACTCACTGATTTGTTTGACTAGCTTAGACTCAGATTCTCTGGCCTCCTCAGTCTTGTCTGGGACACTGGTTTCCATCTAAACCAAACAGGAGAAACTGATCAGATTAAACAGTTAAGGATGAGTAACATGTAAGTGAGCAGGGGTAAAAGCTAAACACTTACAGTCTGTGGATCGCTTTTCTCTGCTGAGACATTTCCTTCCTCCACTGACTTACTCTCAGCTTCACCTAGTGGTGAAAACAAGGAGGTTAAAACGGCGGCCTTTGAAAGTGTTTTTATGAATTTATCTGAAATATTCACCATCTGCAGACAAACTTACTGTTAATTATGTCCGTCTTGGTCCCATCCTCGTCACCTGCCGCCTCCTCTGCCTGTTGTTGAAATAAGATGACTGAGTTTGAGTTGTAAAAAACATACAAATACAAACAAATGTATGAAAATAAACACTTCTAATTTGTTTCAGGGTATTGTGGATCACTACTCACCTCGAGGTTTTCCTTTGTGACGACATCATCTGGCTCTGGTTGTTCTTTATGATGAGATGTAGTTATTTGTCAGTCAAACACACCATTGTATTTTTCTCTGCAGTAACTTATTTCAGCGCTCACCTTGTTCACCAGGAGTTTCAGTAAATTCTTCAGTGGTGTTGGGAACTCCAGCCACCGTGTTTTCCTCTGTGCTTCCTGTGGGCTGTTCGGTTTCACACACAGCAACAGCAGCTGGAAAATGTATTATGTTAATATAAAGCTATGACACTGATGTAAAAGGAAATAAGTTACCGCTGTATTATCACGAGAAAAGAAAAAGATGTGAGGTCTGTGTTCAAACTGTTCACTCTCTCTCCCACTGAGACAGTGGGTATTTGCAAAATAATGGACTCAGTAGCTACTGAGGTATTTTGCACAACGTTTGGATGTAATGTTACTAATTTTACATGAACAAATAACAGAACCCTGGCCAGTGCATTTGGATAAACACATATGCAAACACGTGCAATTGCAAATACTTCAGCTGAACTCTATCCACCTACACGAGGATGAATGGGACTGTCACTACTAGTACCAACAGCAGTAACCATTACATTTGAACCCAAACATGATCTTTTTCTAACAATAGCCATATGATTTTTAAAGCCTTAACTTAAACAACTAATGTATTTACAATGAATAACTCCTTTATAAATAAAATATTAAAAACAAATGATGTGGAAGAATCTGTAACATGTGTCACTGGAACTTTTTTGAAATTTTTTTCCAAACCACCAACTCCTCTAACTCCCAAAATGCAGATTTCGTGGAAAATATTGATTTTGTGTATATGAATGCCAATCAATACACATGAGAAAAGAAATGTGAAAAATCATGTTCGGGGACACTATTGATGCTATTCGGAAATCATCAAACAGTCTCTGACCTGCTGAGCTGCCAGGAGACTAATCACTAATCTTTCAAGTCATTCAAAACCATTAAAATAACAACTTAATGAATCGCTAAACAAGCAGCTAAATTATTAAATATGCTTCTGGTTTGAATTTCGGGGAGACATCTATACATTAAGTCTATCTCTAACGGATTTATTTTCTGACCATACACATACATCACCTCTGACGTACTCAGTGCACTACAAATGGCTCCCCGCTACACTGTGCACTACAGAGTGAGCGATTCAACAGCTGGAACTCAGCTATGTAGATCTGGATTTAATGAACATGACAGATCAGAAAGTATACCCTCTTCAGGTGTTACTGCTGGTTTCTCATCCGACTGCATTTCAGGAAATATTTCAGTATTTTCAGCTTCTTTTGAAGGAATTTCATCTGCAGTAGCTTCATCCTCCTATGATAGAGAAAACATCAGACAATAGAAACTCAGAAAATACCACTGACAAAATATTCAGATTAAGTATAAGTATAGTTAAACTACATATTTTTGATTTGTTGGAGCTGTGACATTTACCTTTAGAGCCAAAGTCTTAGAGGTTTCAACATCTGAAATGACCATGTTTACCTCTGTGCTTTCTGACTCATCTGTAAAGAGACACATGTTTAGCTCTGGTTTATTCTTACTTGTTTTACAGCCAATAATACACAATGGCACAAACCTGCAATGTCTGATTTTACATCAGCAAGCTCATCGGGTTCTTGAGATGCAACTGGTGATGGCTCAGCAGCCGGGGACTCAGTTTCAGCAGCCGGGGACTCAGTTTCAGCAGCCGGGGACTCAGTTTCAGCAGCCGGGGACTCAGTTTCAGCAGCCGG